TTCGGAGGGGGGTTCGGAGAATTGTTCCCCTTCTGTTTGTAAATAAAATTATCGTGTAAGAGAAATTGTCCTTTCAAAATCTTTAGTTCAGTCGCAGTTTTACAGTCACTGAGTATTACTTCTTTTTTTCAATCAACAGCCGTGGTGAGCTCTTTGACAACTCTTTCAAAACCAACAACATTAACAGCTCTTCCGAAAAGCACTAGCTTTGCACATACTTCTTCAGAATTAGGGACTAAAAACTTTGGAAGTGCTCGAGCACAAACTTCTTCAGAATCCGGGACTAAAAACTTTGGAAGTACTCGAGCAATTCCAACACTATCCCCATCAACGATGGTGACATCAATAACATTGCCAGTCCTTACGAAAGGCAAGAGTGTTGTACAAATTTCTGCAAAACCAGGGGCTACAAACTATACAACAACTCAGGCAATTCCAGCAGTATCCCTATCGAAGATGGTGAGACCTAACGTGGAATCAATAACATCAACAGTCCTTCCGAAAAGCACGAGCATTTCACAAACTTCTCCAAAACCGGTAACTACAAAGCCTACAACAAACATTCGACCAGTTACTGACACGCCAGAGGCTGAAGCTCCCATATCACGATGGAATATCATCTCAATGCCAAGAAGTATCGTTGACCAATCCGGTTGTTTTAACACTCAGCCAATTCAGCAGACAGCTTGCCAAGGTTCCTGCAACTCATCTGCGGTCTTGAACATAACCTCACTTTGGGTCGACATCGAATGTCTCTGTTGTAAACCCAAGAATTTTAGCATCGCAAATGTGTCAATGAAATGCCCAGATGGAAGTTATAAAGTCTTAAAGTATTTGGCTATAGCAGAATGTAGCTGTGAAACTTGTGACAGCCATGCCTATCAAAGAAGGCTACAAATAGCCGTGGGATTTTTACACGGGAATACGACTGAAATTACAGATGACAATATTTTGAATTAAAACGGTGCACTACCCAGTTAGCCTCACATACCCTAGACATTAGAACGTTTAGCCTACGAGCGGGCTCCCAATGCGCTGCAATAAGAGCAGCTGCGAATTCCGCGAGATTCGATCCGGCGAGCGAGAGGTGCACGTGAGAAATCTATCAGAGGCCTCAATTTTTGTGTCTGAATTCGCGCCAACCTCACGCGCATTCATACTCCTCGCTGACTCGAAACGCACAGGGTTCGCAACCGTTGAAATCAGAATGGCGACGTTCTGTAATCCATGGCCGTACAATGGGGAGCCTAGATTTTGGTTTTTTTAAAACTGGCATTTGAAAATTTATTCTCGCTCACTTCCCTTACAAATTTTGTTGCCATATCACTAGAATGACTACACGCAACATTTTGTCTATTCAGGCATTGTTTTATAAGAAACGGGTTTATTGAGTAATAAGAATTGTCGTTTGGTTAACTTATAGAAAAACTGTTGGTGTAGGGGGAGATAATCAAAGTACCGATAAAACCAGTAAGACAGGTTTGCCTTTGATTAAAAGAGACTATTCCAGTGGTGTATATTGTAACTTCTTCTGATCGTAGTTTTTTTTTTATAACAGGTAAACGAACGCAAACTTTTGAAAGCTACACTGATTTGTTATTTATGGAAAATATAATCAAGCAAGTGATGAGTTTTTCTAAGATTACGTTGAATCATTTGCTAAACCTTGGAAAACTCACCTCTGAATTTAATTTACCTATTTCTCAAAAATGCGCGCGACTCTACAACTTCACAACTGTTTCTCGCAATAGCAGAGGAGAGTAGCTCGCGTTTGTACACTTTTTTAATAGAATGGATCATTCTATCACTAATTTGTTACGCCGGTGACGATGCATTTAAAATTTAATAATAATATTTATAATCAAACAACAACAAACATATGAAACATATGTGTGAACTGCGGTTATGAGACGTATATGAGAGCACGATCCTTCGCAGTAAAGCACTATTACACTTCACAGTAAAGCACACTTCACAGTAAAGCACACCACAGGTCAGTGGTTCGAATCCCGTACAGGCCTGAAATTTTTTTCAGGTCTGATTTTCACTATTGCTCAAATAGTGCTTTACTGCGAAAAANAAACTTGTTTAGTTAAACCAGGTTTAACTGAATAAAAATCAGAAGCAGAGAACTGAAAAACTAAATTTTCCACAAGATTCAAGCAATTGCTAAATTGTATTTTCAATGTGCCACATTTGAAGTGAACCAAATATTGATTTGAGCAGCTTCTATGGAGCTGCTGTGTTAAACCATGTTTAACAAAACAGCTTTAAAGCATGTTTAGGCTTTGGTGTGAATGGGGTATAAGATTGAGAAAAAGGAAACTCAAATTAAGATGTACGGCTTATCTTTCAAGGTTGTAAGTTTGGGTTTAAAAAGGGACAATGTTTTGGTGTTTATAATGTCACTGTCTAGATTATTCCATTCATAAGAAGCTTGAAAAAGATAAGTTCGTTGGCCCCAACTGGTTGCGCACGCGAGAAAGATTTAGGTCATTGAATCTGCGAGTTTGATAAGAATGAAGATTACTATCGCCCTTGAAATCGGATTCAAAGTCGACTTTTGTGTTCCCTGAAAAAGGACATAGAGACAGACGGTAAAGATAATTTAAACAGTTAAGTTTTAAATTTGAAAAAAAAAGGAATGGATCATCTCCCAGCTGTATAATCAGCGTGCTTCTCGATCAGGTTTATAAAAATGCAGTTTCACAGACAGCTATAGGCTTACTTTAATAATCTCAGACTTGGTTTAAAATTATTTATTAATCATAATTATTCAAAGCTGTGCTTTCCTCCATGAATGGAACACTGTTACGCAGATAAGTTCAGTGACGCTTGAGCTAGTCATAAGAAACTAGCTAATTTAAACGCTTACCAAGAGAGCAAGAGAAAAAAAAAAGATATTAAAATAGAGCAATTCAGTGTCTGGCAGCTGCATTTTGAAACAGGCAGAAAATTACAAAGTAGGTGACCGGCGAGTTTCATGATTGAGTTGCCGATTAAGACAGTGATGCAGGTAAATAAATCTGCCCTGTTACTGTTCTTCTTTCTGAAGTAATGGGAAAACCTAATAAGAAGGCTATTGAAAAACAAAGTTAATTAAATAAATTAGCGTCATAAGTGTCACGTTACATCAGTCTTTCTTTACTTTCTACTTTCATCTCCGGCTTCACTTTTCAAATCCACTTCTTCAGTTTTTGTTTCTTGTTTCATCTGAAGTGAACCTAGCGTGCGGGCTAAAGCTAACGTTTTTAACTCCGGTACAACCAACAGCTTCCCCTGTTTGTTGCTCTGAATAGTAACGCACGCTTTAGCTGCTTTCTCCAAGGAATATTTCCGCTCGCCATCAAATTTAAAGTTTGCGCAGCCTCTGCTGGTATCCATTCTACACGTCTATAGTTTGCAGCTTAACTGTAGAATAAGAAAACAAATGCATAAATTACTGCAATGTAAAAGATATGTTTTGCGGGTCACTAATAAACGCACAAAGAATTAAAAGAAGATTCAGAAACTAGTCTAAAAATAAATGAATAAAGGCTGATAGTTTCGAAAGAAACTGTTTGGGGCTGCGTCGGTGGGAGTAACGAAATAATTTGGATATATCAACAAAGTTGAAATGGTGAATTGGCCACCGTAACGATTACAAAAGCAGACGTTTCGAACGTTTCGAGCGTTAGCCCTTCGTCGGAGCGAAAAATAATACCACTGATCAGGTTTCATGAAAATTCAAGTGTTCGTTTTTTTTTTTAAAGAACATTTGAATGCATGCATGCATGTCAAGAATTTACCAATGCTGGGACTAAGACATACTCAGTGTTCGACACTAACTTTCTTTCTAATTTGCCCTTTGGCAAATCAGGTTTGTGTTTTTGGTTGCCCTTGTATTTTTTTGGTTGCCTACTTAGTAAAAATCCTTTGCTCATTAAACTCAAAGGGGGTTTGAAATAGAATGGTAATTTATTTTATAAATTTTGCGTTGCTTGTTTTTGGCATTTTGTGGGAATCAGTCACTTCCAAAGCACAGTGCGAAGTATGTTTAAAATCCGCAAAGTCAATTTAATCAGTGTTCGAAACCAACGCTTGCCCGATTTTTTGAACGATGCGACTTGCAACGAGGGAAGTGTCGAATAATGTAACGAAATGACTATAAACCTGAGTAAATAATAAAGCAAAATAAAAAATCTTTGCTGTGTCATTTATTTCTCTGCTAAATATATGTGGGTACGAACCTCGAAAGATTTCCAAAAGCGTAGAAGATGTCCGAACAATATAAATTTGTAGCCACCAAGTTGTTTCTCCACGCTAAAGGAATGCTTGTTACAATAAAACCCAGTTTCCGCACGCCTAAATGCCCCTCCATGTTGTCATATCGAACAACGATTATTTCGTTGTTTTGAAATAACACAGCAAAGATTTTTTATTTTGCTTTATTTTTCGCTCATGTGTATGGTCATTTCGTTACATTATTAGACACTGCTCTCGTTGCAAGTCGAATCGATCAAAATTTCCCTATTGCCCGATTGGGCAAGTCTTAGAGTTGTTTCACTTGCCCACAGAGGTAATTCACTTGCCCCGGGCAATCGGGCAAGCCGTTAGTGTCGATCACTATAATGATACCAGGAGCCCATTGCTTCTGGGAATACAGAACTTTCTTTATCGTTTACTGCGAGCTCAAAAATTCGAATCTGTCATGTCGAACACGACAGATACTCGTCACGCATGGAATAATTCATTTGATTGTGTTCTCTCATCGTTGTTAATTTCGACGATGTCGTCAAGTTGATTTATTTATCATAGTTGCAAACCAAAATAATGCTATGTTACTGATATTAGTTCTCTACGGTTCCTCCACTTGAGGAAAGTATCAAAAATGGTAATTATTTCACCACCCTTTGTTTGATGATGTTTTGGGAGTCTTAATGCCGATTGCATGGTGTGTTCAAAATCTTAGCGTCATATCTTGTTTTCTTTTTCAGTATTGATGTACAAAGGTAACTTAGGCAAAAGCAATTTTTCTTCCTTAACGATTTACGTATCATTCATCTGATTTACAATTGTTTCGGCGTAGAATTGCTATCAAATTAACTAATTTTTAAAGTTTTATCGTCTTGTCAATCGTAACTGCTCAGTGGAGGAAAGCACGAACTTACCTGAAATAAACCGAGGTCTGATCTTTACTCCGCTGAACTGAGTGACGCTTTCAGTCTGGTGTCGGTCTCGCTAAATGCAACTGCTTTAAACGTTACTCAGCTTGTGTAAAGATGTATGCAATATTTTCCCGAAGAAAGAGCTGATTTAAACAGGGGCAAGGTTTAGGGAAAATACCAGGGCTTAGGGGATTTTGTTTCCTCACGCGCTTTTTATTTCCCGTTAAGATTAAACCTTGTGGTCATGACCTTGCGCGTGTATGTTGTGATTCCTTATAAAATAACTGCGACTAAGTGCACCTGGATTGGCAAATTGCACCGGTTCCGTTAACTGTGTTTTGCTTTAATTCTATTTTCTAAAAGCAATGTATCGCACTTTCTATCGGTTTACCGGGTAATAGCCCACACGGGATTACAGAAGAATACTCGAAAAGTTTGCAAATCGCTTGCCTCCGGTGCGGAATTTATAAACGTTTTTCATGTTTTCTTACTCTGTTAAACCAATGGCAAGTGTGGTATGTTTTTTAAATAGCTAAGAATTCTTGACTATGCTGGGAGTAAACCGACATTAAAAATAATTCATTTTTAATTTTGGTCTTAACTCATTACAGGTGTCTTTAGTCTTAAACGATTTTGTGGGTTATTAAAAGCCATGAGCCGGTTATTTAAACAAAGTTTAGCCGTTGTTTACAAAACCGTGTTCTAAACTATCTTGAAGTTAGGCAAATCTTTTACCTAAACGTTTAATTTTGTGAACAGTGTCAAGAGGGCCGAAAGAGTTAAGGGGAAAGGTGAACAATATCCGTATATTTTCCGGTCATAACGGGTGCAAAGAAATCATTATTCAGGGAAAATCCCGCGGATTTGAATTGAATGTGATCGACTGCGGATAGACCAACGGAAGTTCTAATAATCCCGAGATCAAAGAGCATAACAGACTTCCTGTCTTAAGTTATCGGAAAGAAAGCTGAATGTGGCATTTTTTATATTTTCAACCACTAATTAACAATCCGTTGGATGAGGTTGAGCGTGATAGCGATAATTACTAAGGCCAAAGTTTGCGTTATCTGCCGAAGCCGAAGACTGAGGTGAATAACACAAACTGAGGACTTGACAATTATCACTGTCATGCGAAAACCGAATCCAATAATTTTTAATTATGCATATTCCTGAGCTACCCTTGTAAAGACAAGAGCACATAAAACTATTGTCTGTAGGTATGACGCCACTTCTACAATACATATAAAATCTATTTTCTGTAGGTATGTCGTAAGAGAATGTATAATAGTGCAGAATTTTGGTTTATACACACTATCTTATACCATGTTATTACCAATTCGTTTTCTTGAAAAAGTTGGCCGATGTTCTGTTGTGTAAATGATCTGTACATGTCTTTACTGTAGAAGCGACTAACCAAAAAGTTGCTGTGTGTCTCAGAATAATTGCTTATAAGCTGTTTTGAATAAAAGTGAAACATATTAGTGTTTATCAGAGTTCACCTTGCCCATTAGGATGAATAGATTGATCATAGACAGCTGTTCAACATGCGGACCTTAAGGTAAACGATATCTGCCCCTTTGAAAAAAAAAACTTCTTCAAGGCACAGACTCACCTTACATGGAACAAATTATTGACCCGAACAGCTTTGATTAAAGGGGCTGTGAAGTATTCTCTTACCTTTTATGAACTTGCCATGAAAGTGGATGCTTTTTTGGTTGTTAAAGTTGTTACAATATCTAGGAGAAGAGTTGAAACACACGCACACACATGTGCGTTAATTTATTTTTATTTTGTTTAACTACGCGTTTATTTAGGGTCTCTGCCCTTGGTATTTTTTTTTTTACCAGAAATTTGTAACTTCTTGCATGGACTGCGTGAAAACAATTTTTTTCTGGCGTAAAGAACAAGGAAAATGGTGGTGATGGTCTAAAATGTCTAAAATGAGAGTAATGCAAAAATTAAGTTTGCATTGGGATGAGCTAGAGATATTATGAAACAAAACAGCTATTTATATCTTGACATGAAACTCATTGTTGTCTAAGTGCTTTTAAAGGTTTGAGTCAGAATTCTGCTTGTAATTTGCTTGCTTGTTTTTTTGTTCTTTTTGGTCAACCAATTTCATGGCATCAATATGGCGAAGCCCCTTCATTCAATATAGTATTTTTTATATATGATGCACGATCCTCGCAGTAGATAGCGCTATTTAAGTAATAGCGAAAATCAGACCTGAAAAAAATCAGGCCTGTACGGGATTCGAACCACTGACCTCTGCGATACTAGTGCAGCGCTCTACCAATTGAGCTAACAAGCCAACTGGGAGCAGGCCGTTAAGTTGATTCGTAATAAACCCGTGAAAGTGATAAATGAGATACAATGCAATATATGAAGTTCATATATTGCATTGTATACATTCAATTGGTAGAGCGCTGCACTGCAGCTCAATTGGTAGAGCGCTGCACTAGTATCGCA